AGTTAAACAATTCTCTTAGTACTGATCGAACTTGGATTCGGAAGTGTGGTAATTAATGTGTCCAACGTGATTTTATTCCAATCCATTTGATTTTGACTACCATTGAAAACCTGGAAGCACTAGACGGCCTTTTCGTCCTAGTATCGCACTCCTCGGTAGTACGTACCCACGATCTTGCACGCTAGATCCAAACCAAGAGCCCTTGGTCTTGGGAGTGAATGCTTAACCTTTGAACCGCTGAGCCATCATCCAACAGCGTTAATGTCTAACTTCAAACAATCCACGAAATTGTGCGACCACCCTCCATTGTATGAGGTAAATAACTATCACTACCTGAGACGAATTAGCTCCACTGGTCAGGACATCTCACCAGAGCTCCGAGAATCCCCTGACGAAGCTAGTTATTAGTGAGTACATGGTAATTATCAGTTTGTGGTTGTGAGGATTGTTAAGTTTTCGCTTGAGATCATGAGTCGATCAATGTTAGATCACCATTGAGAACTTGGAAATACTGCTGAGGAGTCCCATACTAGGACGAAACTGCTGTTCAGCTCCTCCATGATTTCATCAGTGGTCTAACATCGATCGATTCATGGTCTCAATCAAAATATAACAATCTCCGCAACCCCAAACTGATAATTCTATTTTTGTTAAAGCTATGGCATAACATCACTCGTGTTTCTCTCACCATCCAGTGATCAATCAATCGTAGATAATAAATCGATCAAATCACCAAAACCTAAGTGTTTGGATAAAGTTACTAAATAGCTCAAATGGTTATAGAATTTATATCTTATAACATTTATGGATTGCGGTGATATAAACTACTAATCGATCAGTGGCGACTGATACTCATGTTCAGTTATTCATAATTTAACCAATAAGTAATCAATGTACAAATCATGGTATTGAAGTGAAGTTTATATTCATTAACTGACCTTAGTTATACAACTATTTAAAATAGAACAGCAATGGACATATGTTTTATTGAAGGATAGTATTCCTAAACAGTGAAAATGCACTATCCTATCGAAGTTCATCAGGTCTGGTTATGAAATTAGACGTGTTAACAGTTGAATGTTACCCCATCAATCTTGAAGTTGTACACTTATCATAAGTTATGCATGCGCAATGATTAGTAGTTTCCTACTAGAATGAAATAGCTATCTAGTATTACTTGATTTTCATTACTTGTTTAACTTAGATCAATCAATGATATAAACCATATGAGTTTATGAATCTTCGTTAGTATTTTCTTATTCTTCATATACCTAGTTATGTTAATTTGTATTATGAGCATAGATATAAAAATAATAATTTCAGCAATTGAGATCATGAATCAATTGAAGCTAGACCACCATGGAAAAACCTGGAAGCACTAGACGTCTTTTTTTTGCGCGAGGCGGAATCGTAGATATACACTGCTGAGGAGTCCCACAATAGGACGAAATGGCTGTCTAGTGTTTCTAGGTTTTCCATGATGGTCTAACATCAATCGGTTCATGATCTCAACCGCTGAAATTCATACAATCTTCACAAAACCTCTTCTGATAATAAAAATAATAAATCTAGTATGATTACATAAGAAGCCTTATCACATATAAATGATGTTGTGTAAAAGAGAAATAAAAAAACAAAAAAAAATTGAGGTAAACTATTCAACATTTTGAGGGGTAGAAACTCCATTTTTTTTTAAAATTTTATTTAAAAAGGAGACTTGTTTATTATTAGTAGTATGGAGATTACATTGATTAAATAAGATTTAGAAAGGATACTTTCCATTTATGAAGGAAAAACAGAGACATGGATACAAAACATACATACTCAGATATATTTCGATTTAAACACAAATATACACACATATGCCTAGATACATACAGATATAAACCAATCAGATTTCTATCATTGAAATTCAATTCAATTACAATATTAGTGATGATAAAGGATAAGAAGATAACTCAATCTGTAACTGAGTAATAAAAATTCTGGAGAAGAAGAAAATGTAATAATCACTTAAGATTTAGAGGTGGATTAAAAATAAATAAATTTGTATCGCTGGTTTATACAATTCAACATATATATATATTCTCGATTGAGATCATGAACCGATTGATGTTAGACCATCACAATTGAAAACCTGGAAGCACTGGACGGCCGTTTCGTCCTATTGTGGGACTCCTCAGCAGTGCGCATCCACGACCCCGCGAGCGGGATTCGAACCCAGGGCCTTCGGTCTGGTCTCGCACGCGAACGCTTAACCAACTGGATACAGACAGGTATCACCTCAGTACAATGGAAGTTGGTCGCGCAATTTCGTGCATTGGTTGATGTTAGAAATTATCACCATTGGATACCGGCTCAGTGGTCCAGTTGGTTAATCGTTCGCGCGCGAGACCGAAGGCCCTGGGTTCGAATCCCGCTCGCGGGGTCGCGGATGCGCACTGCTGAGGAGTCCCACAATAGGACGAAACGGCCGTCCAGTGCTTCCAGGTTTTCAATTGTGATGGTCTAACATCAATCGGTTCATGATCTCAATCGAAAAACTTAATAATCTCCACAACCCCTATACTAATATATATATTCATTTGAGATAAAGATTGTACGATTCAAGTCCTAGAGCGAACATTAACTCTGAGATACAGGTACATCTAGCTGATGAGTCCCAAAATAGGACGAAACACATGTCTTGCATTCCACTGTCAGCCACTATTCATCTTTTCTTATAATGCTTGGGAATTAAGGTAGTATCGAGGCAATATGCACAGTATGCATATATGCTAATAACAGACTGATCAATCGCAGATCTAAACAACAATGAGAAGATACAAGTACACAATGCCAAGTGAATTTAAACTCTCCCCCCTCATTGCACATGCAAGTGGACTCAGTAACTAAGTGGATAGCGCAATAGTTTTTGAAGCAGACGGTACTGGGTTCGAGTCCTGGAGTGAAAATCAACAAGTCTGAGATGGAGGTACATCTAGTTGACAAGTCCCAAATAGAACGAAATGCTTGTTCTTATTATCGTACTTTTTCTTCCAAAATAGAATATTCCATCATCTTAATTTGTTTTCCTAACGTTACTCTACTGCTTTGTGGATTAAAGTTTCAAATCAAAGGCTTCGGCTATGGCCTCCTAAGAAAACCATCTGCTTCTGTTTAGGCTCCTGAGTTGTATCTCAGCTCTCTCACAAATAGAATGTTTTACATGGTGCATATCTATTTGATACCTCCCTATAACAATGTTTATGTATTTAAATGAACACTTTACGTTTTCTAAAGAAATCGAACAGATATTACAGATTATTATGAAGTTAATGAGAAACAATATTAAAATTGTAGTTGTGTATGATTACATCACATCCCATTGTATTTACCAATTTACATGTTTGTGTGGACATACATACACTAGGGAGGAGTAATCGAGCAATGCAATCAAGGGTCAATGAACATGTGCCTAGATGGCTTCAACATCAATGTGTGTCAAATAATCCGATCAATGTGGGAGGTAGAAACATATAATTGAAACGGGGCACAAAATTAACATTCATACAGCTTTTAGAACGTTGTATAGAAATTGTCAAGGCCAAATTCTTAAGTTTATTGAAGCCGTGGCTATTCGTAAATTTAATCCCCCCTTATGTGTAACCTTGAATTTACCTTGGTAATCCTTAAGTCATTCTATGGCCTAGGATAACGCGACAATTTCTTATTCTTTCTCTCCCCCCCTTTGTTACTTTTTTACTTGAACTTTCATTTAATTGACCTTTATTAATTTTCATATAAAAATGCCTTGACAAGTATATATGTGTGACCATATTGTTCGGAATGTATAGCGCAAATATATTACATTTTTCAGATAAACTCCGTTTGAAGCGAATGGTACTGGGTTCGAGTCCTAGAGTGAACATCAACTCTGAGATGCGGGTACATCCAGCTGACGAGTCCCAAATAGGATGAAACGTGCGTCCTGGATTTCACTGCTAGCCACTATCTATCATTGCTTACAAATAGCTTGTGAATTCAGGCAATATTGAGGCATACGCACAGTACGCACATATGCCAATAACAGACTGATCAACTGCAGTCGTAAACCTCAATGGGAAGATACAAGCCAAATAAAACCAAGTAAATTCCGTCTTCTCATTGTTCTATCGAAATTTATAAAAGAGATTAATTGCTTTAAATTGTATTCAGCAACAGAAGATAAGAGAATGGATTTTGTTCTATATGGGACTTGTCAGTATCTTGTAGGTCATATAGAAGTATTAATGTTTTTTAATTCGATGACTTCAATCCAATACCTATCACTGGAATTTCAAACAGTCCATTCAACAAGTTAATGAGTTCAGATAGTTATTTGTTTATTCAAAAAGTAAAATGTTCCTTGTAAAGATTTGGGTTAATTTATTGAGAATATTAAATCGAGGGATCCATTAGACATACGTATAGAAGTCAATAAAGACTGATCATAATTCAGTTTTCAATATTAACAACAGATCAGTGCAAAACTAGCCTAATGGATGACACATTGTGACTTAAAGCAAAAGATATGTGGTTTAAGTCTTAATATGAACAACAAAATTGTGATTCAAATACATTTAGCTGATAGGATCACCAAAAGAACTAAACACACAACCTAGATTCCGCAGATAACCACAATCCCTTTATTCTAAATAGAGATCAAATAAAGATTCATATTTAATAACAAAGAGTGGACAAATTTAGTCTTGAGAATCAATAACTGGATAACGAAACTTATTCAACATAAAGAGCACATATAACGAACCAGTAGGTTCTGGGTTCAAGTCTCGTGAGACAGGAACGTGGATACGCATTGTTGAAGAGTCTCAAAATAGGATGAAACGGCCGTCCAGTACTTCCAGGTGTTTCAATGGTGATCTAGCTTCAATCGACTAATGATCTCAATCATTAAATAGAAACTTATTTATTAATTCTAAGACAAAAATAAATAAATAAATAGACGATATAATACTTACTTGAAGTCTTTGCCAAATAGAAATTAATCGTTGAGGATTTTCAGGATGATTTGCATCAGTTTGACATGTACAATGATGAGCAAGCATTCCCAAGTCATATGCTAATACTGTAGTGAATGTTGCTTCCTATGAATTGAGAAAATAATAGTATATTTAATAGTATATATTCAATTAACTCATGATCTCAAACTGTTTAAATTACTACAATCTCCACAAAATCCCTTCTGATACTAGTCAACATGCGCTCACCAGTGACTGACTTCAAGATATATATCCTGGAGTTCTAGTGAGAAGCAGTGACCAGTGGAGTCCAATCGGGTCATTTGTAAGATAGTAACTCACTAATGACAATGGTGGATGTGTCGCTCAATTTCGTGGATTAATTGAAGTTAGACATTAACATCGTTGGATGTCGGCTCAGTGGTCTAGTTGGTTAAGCGCCTGGCGCGAGACTGATACGTCCTGGGTTCGAATCCTGTGAGGCATGGTCGTGGATGTGCACTGCTGAGGAGTCCCACAATAGGACGAAACGACCGGGTTTTCCATGATGGTCTAGCTTCAATTGACTCATGATCTCAAACTGTTTAGATAGAAACGATCATTTACATACTAAATTATCTAACTAACTAATCTCTATAAATAAATTATCCTAATAGTAATGTGTTTTCTAATAAGTATTATAATCCTGATCTGTTATACGCGTATCATTAATACTGATACCTTAGCTCAATGAGATGATATAGCAAAGTTTATTGATATAAACACAGTTCCTATTGTGGTGTGTGCTATTTATATGAACATGAGTAGTATATAACGATAGTCAGGATTAGAATGTCTGGTAGTAGAAGGTTGAGAAGGAAAGAACGGAGATAAAAAGGAGTTGGTATTGAAATGAAGGAACAATGAAATCTGAGACGACTGACTGATATTTGCCAAAGAAATAGTTAAGTTTGAGACAACTGATTGATATTTTGTAAATGAAGTATTTACTGTATGAGCTCAGTGGTTTAAAGGTTGAGCATTCGCACACGAAGACCGAAAGTTATGGGTCAGAGTCTTGCGTGCGGAGTCGTGGATGTGCACTTCTGAAAGGTATCATACTAGGACGAAACGGCCATCCAGTGCTTCCAGCTTTCCAATGATGGTCTAGCTTATATTGACTCGTGAATTCAACTGTCAAGATACTAAAAGTTATTGAAAATTAATTGTTTCATATTCTTCTACTTGGTTTTTTATGATAACTCTTAAACATGATCATCTTTTAAATAAAGTATTCAAAAAGTGAGTCCGTACATTCCATAATGATTAAAAAATTGTTGATGGCTTCTACTTATTTATTTGAACACAGATGTATCGGTACAAGGGAGCAGTATATTCATATGTATCATACAATAATATGAGGCTAGTAATATTTATCACTGATTTGTGTGAAGGCTGTAATACTAGCCGGGTCCCAAAACTGAACGAGGTGGTTTTCTTAAGGAGCCAAACTCAGAGACTTCGACCTGAAAGTCTAATTCAAAAGGCAGTGGAGCAACTTTAGGAGATGCTGTCTCATAGCAGCCTGTGACTACCAATAGGTTGATACGGCTTTTTTTTCCCTCAGGATTATAGAGCCCATTTTCACCATTGGTTTGGAAATAGGGTTTTCCAACTGTCCTAGGTCGACCCTCCATGTCCGACAACCCTACTATCAACCAGGTTTAAATAAGGATAACAAAAAACAAAAATTTACGGTAGATGGTTGAATGTATTGCGAAATAAGACTTCTTACCTACAATTTGACAAATTACATGTTTCAACTGTAGAGATTTTATTATAATTCAGTAAAACATGACCACTGTCTACTTGAATAGAAAACAATACTGAAAAAAAAGGATTTTTACACATTTAAGGGATTGTTCAAATCATTCTAAACAATCTGCAGCAGCCTGATTGAATATCTGGACTACTTGTTCCATGCCCTCTAGATATTTCAACAAGTTATCGGTTTTTTCTTTGTTCGGTTTTAACACATCATAATTGTCTATGAATCACATAACCCAATTCAAGTGCATTTCTAAAACGTGTACAACCTCTCGTTGTACGAGTTACAAAATAGCTGAATCCGAGACAATGTGGTTGCTGACAATATACATTGAGAAAAGAATGTACATTATTTAGATGTTGATTGATTGGACTACTAACTTGTAACTGACAATTACTCAATAGGTTATCGTTAGGGATCGATGAAGAATTAAGAAATGGGAACTTATTGAAATACTCTGTACTGAGAATTGTATCTTATACCAAAACTATAATATTGAATAAAGCCATTAATAATAACAATAATGATAATCCTTTATCATATGAAGTTTCAATGTCTTCATGTAATCTCCCATTCTTTCTCCGATCTTTTTTTTATTAAGTTGTTTTATAACTAATGTAATTCAGCTTCGCTAAATAAAGAAGATCCTTCATCTTTTTGATTAGAATTAGGCATTGAATGTTGTTACTGTTTAGAACAGTGATAGAACCTTCATAACCAAGCTAGATAGCTGATTGTATGAAATACTATTAATTTTTGAATGATATCATGAACCAATTGATGTTGGACCACCATTAAAAACCTGGAAGCACTGGACGG